GTGGAGAGGAGCCCAGCGGCCTCTGCCGAGGGGATCAGCAGGTTAGGCCTCCAACTTGAGCAACGTGGGGATCCCCGGCGGCCCGGGCATCCACCAGGAGATACCCCTCCTCCAAGGCCCGCCAGTCCAGTTCTGGAGCCACTCCTCCACCCCACCCCATCCCCTGGGTGCTGTGGGGGGCGGAGCTGCTTCAGTGCCCACAAGACCTGGTTCGGCGCCCACTGTGCCCGCTCCTGACCTGCAACACCAGAGCAAGCCTGGCTCCAAGGCTTGGAGGAGATTTGATGGCACCGGTAGGGCGCATCTGGCGGGTCTTGGGCCAGGGCAGGCCCAGGTGGCCAGGAGACAACAGGTAAAGCTGCAGTGGAGGCCCTAGGAACGAGGAATCTGGAAAGATGTCAGTGAGGCCGTGAAGCCTCCTGACTCAAGGGCAGAGCCCTAGGGATAGTCACAGGACTACTTTCTCCTGGAGGGCACCTTGGGTCCAGGTCTTTTCTTCCCCACAGGCCCCTGTCTCCCAGCCTGATGTCCCTGGCCACCAGAAGAAAGGTAATTGTTACAATAATTTCACACAAGCCAGTTCTAAGGAGTTGTCACATGCACTGATTCTGGGCTCCTGGTGTCTATCATCATGTGAAATCAAAACTCCCCTGTAAGATGCAAACTATCCGTTTCACAGAGGAGGACACTGAGGCAGAGGGGTTACTTGACAATCATGGGTGGGAAGACAGGTTAAGAGGGTAGAGGGGGTTTGCTAGTGGAAGGTGGCTGTGACGACGTGGGAACTGGGGAAACAGCTGCTGGGAGCAGCTGCAGGAAACCCAGTGGGGATTAACCCTTGTGGGTCTGCCCGCAGTGGTGTCATGGATAGACGTGTATGCTCGTGCCACCTGCCAGCCTCGGGAGGTGGTAGTGCCCCTGACTGTGGAGCTCATGGGTACTGTGGCCAAGCAACTGGTGCCTAGCTGTGTGACTGTGCAGCGTTGTGGTGGCTGCTGCCCTGACGATGGCCTGGAGTGCGTGCCCACCGGGCAGCACCAAGTCCGAATGCAGGTACCAGGGCAAACGGGGCAAGCAAGTTGGGGGGACACTGGTACTCTGGGAGCTGAGCCAGCCCAGAGACTGGAGGACAGGAGGCTGGGGGTTGGTGGCCAGGCCCTGGCTGTTGGATGAGCTCTTCTCTCTCCAGCCCCTTTCCTGTCCCCCTCCCTGCTGTGTCTCCCATTCTTCTCCTGAGCACAGATCCTCATGATCCGGTATCCAAGCAGTCAGCTGGGGGAGATGTCCCTGGAAGAACACAGCCAATGTGAATGCAGGTGCCAGCCAGGCCCAACTTCTGAACTTGCAGAGTCCAGGCATGGGGGTGTCGGGCGTGGTGATACACCACGGTGGGGACCAGGTTTCTAAGAGTGGAGCCTAAGATAGACCTGGGATCTTGGGCAAGAGAGCAGGATGCATGAATTTTCTGACCCTGTTCCTCTTTGTGCCTTCTCTTTTCAGACCAAAAAAAAAGGAGAGTGCTGTGAAGCCAGACAGGTGAGTCCCTTTGGGCTCCTGCCGAGCTGGGGTAGGAGCTCAGGCCCGGCACTCAGAACATAATATGTGGTGGCCAGGGAGTGCAAGAGCCAGTCAGGAAGCTGTGGTCCCCTCTTCTTCCTCCCACTTGGTTCCCCTGTCCATTTTCTTCTGCTCCTTGAATCTGTGCCTTCTCTCCAACCCAAAGTCCTGGGAAGACTCTTCCTTCCCGCCCCAGACATGTCGCTTCTCCTCCTAGGGCTGCCACTCCCCACCACCGTCCCCAGCCCCGCTCTCTTCAGGGCTGGGACTCTGCCCCTGGAGCACCCTCCCCAGCTGACATCACCCATCCCACTCCAGCCCCAGGACCCCCTGCCCACGTTGCACCCAGCGCCGCCAGCGCCCTGACCCACGGACCTGCCACTGCCGCTGCCGACGCCGCAGCTTCCTCCGTTGCCAAGGGCGGGGCTTAGAGCTCAACCCACACACCTGCAGGTGAGGGTTTGTGGGGTGGCACTTGATTGGGAAGGCATCAAGGCCACATCCTGGAGCAGGTCCAGGGCGAGCCTGCCGGTGGGAGAAGGCCAGGGAAGGGGAAGCTGTTGAGCGCGTTGAACAAACATTTACCAAATGTCTGCTGGCACTGGGATCAGCAGGAACACAGCTCGCATCAGAGTCGGAACTCATACAGGGGAAAGGTGGTGCCAGCATAGAATGCTAAGGGTGGCAGTGGGGCACCTGACATATCTGAGTTGTTAGTCAACTCCTGGAGGAGGTGACATTTACCTAGAATGGAAATGAGGAGGATAGTGGCAGAGGTCTGGGCCTTCCTAGAAGCCTATACCACAGACATTTTCCCCATTATATGGGTGCTGAGCAAACGGGATATATTGGAACCCCTTCTTCACCTTTTTCCGCGGTGTCTCCCACCACCCATGTTCCACACTGAGGTCATGGGATGACATAGGCCAGGCTGGGGGTAGAGGGATTCCTTGGAGATTCAGGGGAGAATAGGGTTCACAGGAGGTCACAAGGGAGTTCATCAGGAGGAGCTGGGGCTGCATTCCAGCCCTCACAACCGATCTGTTCCTTCCATCTTCAGGTGCCGGAAGCTTCGAAGGTGACACATTACCTTTCAGACTCAGTGGGCCACTTGCTTCACAGGCCACACCCCAGTGGGAGAAGAGAAGAGCCTGGGGAGAATAGCCCAGCCCCAAGTCCTGGAATCTGCTTTAGGACCTGGGCTTCTCAGAGGGCTTTCCTGCCATCGTTTGTCTCCCAAGGCTGCCATCTAACAAAGTTGATGAGGAGACTTGGCAGCAGCAAGAGGGGTCACATGCCAGCTTGGGGGGATGGGGTGTTGTCTCAGTTTTTAACTAACTTGTGCAACTGATTGTCTTACACCTGGCTCTTGCCTCCCCTAAGAAGACCCCAACCTCTGCAAATAATGGGCTTTGATACAAAAACTGTGACCCCCCACACACACCCTGATAAAAGAGATGGAAGGAGCTATCCCTGCCTGTGTCACTGTTTGTCACTGTGCAGACTGACTGGTTGGGTTAGGAGTATCTGTATTACTCACTGCCTGCTAGACCTGGAGCTTGTCTTGTGTCATGCAGATGGAGGCAGTGGGGCCCGAGCCCCCACAGCAGATCCCAGATAGCCAGAACCATGGATTCAGCACATTTCTTGTCCCCTGCTTATTACAAGGGTTCTGTCTTCTATGGTTAATGAACTTGAAGTTGGACCCAGATCTGCTGAGTGACCTTGGCTCCCTCTGCCCATTTTTTTCTGAGTCTCAGTTTCCCCATGGGCACATGGAGGGAACAGTGGATTTCTGTGTTTGGGGCCCCCTAGACTCCAGACAAAATCTGAGTCTTGTGTTCACCTGATCATTTTCCTGTTAGGCTCTAAGGCTACCATCTGTCCTGTCCTTCACTCACTTCTGCCTAAAAGGAAAGTACCAAAGTTTTGTGGCTGGTGGGCTCCTCTCAACTCAACCCACACTATCTTCTCCACCTTCACCTCCTTGGCACCTTGGTGCTCCCTCATCTGTGGCTACATGAGACTCCTGACTTGTCTGAACCAAGCTCAGCACCCACTTTTCTTCCTGTAGCCTTCAGTGCCCAGGGCTGGGTGGCAAGGCAATGGACCCAAAGTCAGTGTTGGGTACCAATGTTTTGCCCTGCTAAGGCACGACATCCAGAGGCAGAGTTAACCCAAAGCAGGTAGGTATTGGGTCAGAGGGTGTACTCATGGTCTTAGTGGGCCCAAGGAAGAAGTGGGTTAAACCGTAAGAAAGTTCCTGGGGCTAGAAATGTGGCTCAAGCGGTAGCTTGCTCGCCTGGCATGTGTGCGGCCCGGGTTCGATTCTCAGCACCACATACAAACAAAGATGTTGTGTCCGCCGAAAACTAAAAAAAATAAAAATTCTCTCTCTCTTTAAAAAAAAAAAAAGAAGAAGAAAGAAAGTTCCTGAATGTGATTACTGCTTATAAATCATTTCATTAGCTGTGAGGTCAATTATGCCATAGGCCAGTTAGAGTGGGACAGATGAGGATTAAGGCCCTAGAGCTACCACTTCTGGGTCCATTTAGTCCCACTAGACATGGATGATGCTGCGCTTCACCTCCTGGCTTACTCAATTCTTAAGGTCTGTGTCATGATTTTTTTTTTTTTTCAACTGAAGAAATGGACTCAGGCAAATTGGCCTGGAAATTAGGCCTTAAGTATTTCCCTAACACCTAACACTGCACCTAGGTTTAGCTGCTTCTCAGCTACAGGTTGAGCTACTTGTTGATTCCACCAGTTGGGCACTAGTGGGTGATGGGGTCCCTGAAAATTAACTTTGTCCTTTAGGAATGGGCCCAGCCAGACTACTGCAGTCATGACCTGGTGCTCTCTTGGTGCTCGCTCGGTGTGCACAGGCAGGTGGGCATAGATGCTGTAGGAGAGGGGAGGGGAGGAGCCTTCACGAACTCCAGGGCCTGGCGCTGCACATTGTCCCAGTCCTGCAGAGGCCCGTGGGGTGAGTGTCATCAAGCCCATCTACCAGGCGAAGGAAACCGCTCAAGGTCACACAGCCACAACCAATGGCAGATCTGGACTTCAAGCCCGAGTGTTACTCCGAAGCCCAGTTCTTCCCACAGGAGTGTACGAAGAGGCCAGTGGCAAGCAGGATTGCTGTGGAAGAGGCCAGGGACTTCAAGACCTCCTGGGGAACCCATGACTGTTTGACTATAACGTCACTCTGACCCATTTTTTTTATAATTTCTTTTTTATTTTTTCTCTTTTGACATACATGACAGTAGATGTATTTTGACATATACATGCATGGAAAATGTCACTCTGACCCTTTTAGAAGTCATTTTGACCGAAACTAACGGACTACAACTCCACCGGAAGTGACGTATAAATCACGTGGCGATATGGGAGGCGGAGCCAGGGGAGAAGCGGCGCTAGGGGGTGTGGCAGCGGGTTTCGTATGGTCCAATAAAGGAGGGCGGCGTGGCCTGGCCTGCAGCGACTAGGACGCGCCTGCGCAGAGGTGGCAGCACGACCGGGGTTGACTCCGGGGGCGCGGCGAGGAGGTGAGCGGGGGCCACAGCCCGGGCTGGGGGGAGCCGGGGTGCAGGAGGGCAGGCTGGATCAGGCCGGGCAGAAGCGGGCCGGGGCTCCGCGTGTCAGCGAGGGATAGGTGACGAGGAAACGGGCTGGGGTCGGAGCTGTCTGGAGATGCCGCAGGGGGAGGGTTCTCACGCCGCACGGGGCGGAGCCCTGGAGCTCGGGGCGGGACGTGGAATAGAAACGGGTGGACCTTCCGAGCGGGTGCGGGTGGAAGGCGGAGCTCGGGGACGGGGGGTAGAGCCAGGACGGCTGGGGGGCGGAGCCTATCCCTTGGAGGAGGAGCTGGAACAGGTGGAAGGCGGAGCCTCGGGTTCGGAGACCGAGGGGGACGGAGCCCAGGCACTGGGGGCGGGGCCTCAGCCGGTGAGTGGCGTGGCTGCGGTTCAGGAAAAGGGGTCTAGTTCGGCTGAGGGCGGAGCTTCAGGGCCGGGGGCGGAACTACACTCTCTAAAGGGCGGAGCCAAGGAGCCAAGCGAAGGGCTAAACCCGAGTAATGGCCCGGGGCGTCCACGCGGGGGCGGTCTCCGTGGTGGCCGAGCCTGGGGACGCGGTAGGCCGAGAACTCCCCCGGGAGAGGTGGTATGGGTGGAGCGGGCTCGGCGGCCAGCCGACACCGGGCCAGTCTGGGTGCCTCGGAGGCCCCCCAGGGCGCAGAGCTGGGGTGGAGCCTCCGGAGGAGGCACAGGGCCAGGCTGGGGGGTACCTCCGGAGGACCGGGCCTCCCCGGAGCCACCCAGTGGGGATGTGTGGGTGCCTCGGGGCCGACCCCCTGCAGCGGCCTCAGAGGTGTGGGTGTGCTGGGCAGGGGGCAGCTGGGTGTGGCGTGAGTGGGGCCGCTCAGTCGGGGCAACTGGTGTGCAGTCAGATAGGGTCTGGACTTTGCGTAAAGGGACGGGTGGGAACTGAAGAGCAGAGGTGGGGACCGCGAGGGAGGGAAGGTCTGGGGGTGAGCAAAGGGGCGGGGCCCTGGCTGCTGTGGCCTCCCCTGACCCCCTCCCCTCGCTGCTGGGGTCCTCATCCAAGCCCCCTTCTCACTGGACTGGTAAGTGTGGCCGCGGAGCCTTGGGGGAGAGGGTGGTGACCCGGGACAGGGGGGTCCCCAGGGGCAGGCAAGGTTTCGCTGGGGGTGGAATCCTTTCGGTATCTGGTGGTGCTCCATGCCCTCCCCACCCTCTTCCCGGTCTGTCGGTCGGGGTCTGTGCCCGCAGAGACATGAGGCTGAGCTGGATCCTGACAGTACTGTCCGTCTGCCTGAGTGCCCTGGCCATGGCCACGAGGGCCGAGGGCAAACGGAAGCTGCAGATCGGGGTCAAGAAGCGGGTGGACCACTGTCCCATCAAATCGCGCAAGGGAGACGTCTTGCACATGCACTACACGGTGGGTGAGGGGCGGAGCTCCTGGGAGTGGGTGGGGCTTCCGGGGACCTGGAAGAACTTGAGTCTGGTTTCTTCCCCAACCAGATGGGTGACATAGGGCAAGTCCTTTCTCACGTATAAGTACATTTTCATAGTTCTTTCTCATCCTTCACTGTTTGCTGCCCAACTGGACACCAGAAGGATTCTTTTTTTGTATTGGGGACTGTACCTAGGGGCACTAAACCACGCCTCCAGCCCTTCAGGGCCACTAAGTTGCTTAGGGCCTTGCTAAATTGCTGAGGCTGGCCTTGAACTTGTCATCCTCCTGCCTCAGATTCTTGAGTTGCTGGGATTACAGACCCACACCACCATACCTGGCCACCAGCAGATTTTTTAGAATGAACTATGAGCAACGCCAGGCTCTGTGCCCTTAAGGTCTATGGCCACAGTGCTATGGGGGCAGGCCTGATGAAGGGCAGGTGAGGAGGGGGATCAGGAGTGGTTTCTGCTCACAAGTCTTCCCATGGTTCCACAGGGAAAGCTGGAAGATGGGACGGAGTTTGACAGCAGCCTGCCCCAGAACCAGCCCTTTGTTTTCTCCCTTGGCACAGGCCAGGTCATCAAGGGCTGGGACCAGGGGCTGCTGGGGTGAGTCTGGGGTTGGAGGGATGGGGTGTGCATGGCCATGATCTAGGAGGTGAGCTGTGGGAGGCAAGCCCCACCAGGAGCCTGGGTATTGCCCTGGCTGAGCATGTGTTCTCCTGCAGGATGTGTGAGGGGGAAAAGCGGAAGCTAGTGATCCCATCTGAGCTGGGTAAGAGTCCCTGTGGGTCTTTTGGGGGAAGGGTGAAGGTAGCTTCAGCCTCACTGATCCCCACCCTATCCATTCACTACAGCCCATGCCTCCTTCCAGTCTGGCTGTGCCCAGCAATGAAGACAGGGCAAGGCTTGGGCGTTCAGCTATAGTGCCCATCCTCTGTCCTCTAGCAGGCCTGTGGTATCCCTTCCCGTCTTCATCTCACCCTCCATTTCTGGCCTTGCTGCTGCAGGACCACTCCTCTCTTTGCCTGAGTTATTAGAAGAGAACGTGGCACAGCTCACTTTGTTTCTTGTGTGTTTTTGACAGGGTATGGAGAACGGGGAGCTCCCCCAAAGATCCCAGGTAATAACCCTTCCTACCACCCCACCCACCTTCTCCCTGGAGCCCAGGTTCAAGTTTAACCCTACTTCTCCCTCCAGGTGGCGCAACCCTGGTGTTCGAGGTGGAACTGCTCAAGATTGAAAGACGTTCAGAACTGTAGCCAGCTGCCATGGAGGGGCAGAGGGTGGGGGGCCATCAGGGACCAAACTTTAAAAAACAAAAAAATCCTTAAAAGCCCAAGGAGTGAACCTGTGTTTCTTTGTGGGCTCTGAGAGATTAAGACGTAGCTTCAGGGCTGGGGTATGGTCAGTGGTAGAGTGCTCGCTTAGCATGCTCAGGTCCCCTCAACTCTGGCTTCACCAAACAAAAATAAAATACCATAGTTTAGCCTCTCCCTTTTCCGGGTATCTCCCTACCCTGCTCTCCTTTCTGACTGCAGAACCTTGGAGGTCTAGGCTCAGTGGCATGGTGACCTTGCCCAGGGGAAATAGTGTTCACATCTGTCACCAGCAACTCTGCTTCCCCAGCTCTTTTGAGTGCCTGGTCTGGGAGGCAGCACAGGTATATTGCCATGGCTACATGGCCCTTAGGAAGACCTGTGGTCACCTGGGGAGAAGCTGAGCTGGCAGCAATTGTAGATCAAAGTGTACCCCCTAAAAGACCAGCCAAGCCTATCAGCTGCTCCAAAGGATCCTAGCTTTATTAAAGGGCCCACGCCGCAGTCAATATAAAAACACAAAAAGTCCCATCAGTTTAATAACAATAAAAAACCCCAAAAATGGAAAACTGAGGGGGCAAGGGAAGAGGCCCCTAAGCCAGGGGCATGGGGAACCCTGCTCATGGCACCAGGCCTGGCCACAGGGTCCTCTGATATTGCTGTTGCTACGAGGTCGGGGACAGCACAGCGATTGTCCTGTGGGAGCCACCATTCACCTGGGTCAGGGACCCTTATTTCTTCTGGGGTGTGCTCAGCTTCTGCATGCCCCGGATCTTGTCCAGCAGGCCAGAGATGAAGGCCTAGACAGGAGGGGGTGGCATTAGGGATACTAGACCCCCAAGGTGACAGGAGCTGGGGCTCCATCCCACCCTCTGGGAAAACCACTTACCTCGGTGGGTTTGTAACAGTCAACCAGCAGCTCCTAGTGGGTGGGGTGAAGGAGGGGTAAGTACACTGTGAGTTCTCAGGGATGGGGGTCTAGAGTTCCCCTATACCCACTTCCAGGGAACAGGGGCCAACTGGAGGCAGAAATGTCACAGTTAGGCAAGTACCGTCAAACCCATTTTTCAGAGGCAGAAACTGAGACCTGAGGTAACAGCTAAATGACTCAGACCAGAGAAGGCCTGGCTCCAGGGCCTCCAGGCAGCCCTCTACCTGCTGCCCAAACCCCCTCACCTTGACCCTGGCAGCCCGGGTATCATCGGTCTCCATGTCCAGGAGCTCATCCACGTCAATCTCCAGCTCTGGGATCTCTTCTTCCTGGGGTGGCAGTGGGGGAGGAGGGCGAGACAAGGGCCTGAGTCGAGGAGTGAGAGGGGTTTGGAGTTGAGGTCCCTGCCTACCTCAGCACCAGCGGAGCCTTTGCCCAGCAGACAGGGCAGCTGCTCTGAGAAGGAAAACAGATCAGGCCTGTGCCAAGGCAAATTGCCCAATGGGGGGAGCTTCCTGTCCCTGCCAGTGGGCACCGGGGGTGCCAGACAAGGCCAGACAGCCAGGGCTGGGGACCTTGGGCTGGGAACCTGGCAGATGTGTCTCCTGGACTTCCGGGCCCCCCATCTCAATAGAGCACTGGTGGGACCAGCTGTCCCAGTTCATCACAACCCCTCCCCTCCCCCAAACACCTGTCATAGCTTCCTGGGAGTGAGGAGGAAGTAAAGGGTGAGGGGTCAGTGGGAAGAACCCATGCCTGAAAAAGTGGAAACAAAGAGCCCATGCTTTGGGGAGGGAGGGGGGCGCCCACCACCCCTCCCCCTCAGGAAGCAGCTATCCCCTTCAGAGCCAGCTGCATTCCAGGGCTAGGCTAGGGTAGGGTAGGCAGCACCCGGCAAGCCCACTCCTCCACCCTGCCCCGGGGGGCCTGAGTCACCATCTGAGCAAACAGGGAGTCATGGGGTGGAGAACCAGAGACCCGAGACCAGAGATGGAGCTAACTTGCCCGTACACCAAGACAGGGCTCCAAGCTCGCCCATTAAAACAAGCAGACTCTTTAGAGTACCCTCACCAGTCAGAGCAGCGCCTTTTAGCAAGTCTAAGCTAAGCCGGTGGGTTAGATCTCCTTCCACTACCAGCCCAGGCTCGCCCCTGTCCTGCCCCATGCCAGGCTATCCCTCGAGGTTTCTGGAGGACATCACGCTTGACCTGGGGAGTGGCATGAAGGAGGCCGGGTCTGAGGCAGCGGAGAAGGCTGGAACGACTTAGGTCAGACAAGAAAGAGCATACACTGGGGGCGGGGAGTGCCGAGAAGGGTGCGCGCGGAAGCGGAGCGCCCATTGACTCCGGTGACAGGCGGACTCACGGTGGGGTTGCCTGGCAGACGACTCGGGGACTGATCTTAGGGTGTCGGCGCGGGGTGGGGAACACACCTGGCAGTCGTAGAGGCGCGTGAGCTGTTCCAAGATCCACTCCTCTAGGTTGAGGCGCTTCCGTAGCTCCTTGCGGTCGTACTTGACGGTGACCTTCCCTTGGCGTCTCACTGGGCCCTCGTCGTCCGCACCGCCCGGGCCCTCGCCTGCCGCCCCAGGGGGGCTCTGAAAGTACACGCGGGGCCCAGGGCCACCACCGCCCGGCCCAGGGGCCGGGGCCGCCAACGCCGCGCCCCCCGCGGGGCCGCTGTCCGCCATGGCGGCCGCCGGGGCCACGTGCGCGCCGCGGGCCCCTCCCTGCGCCGCCGCCTCCCGGACGCCCGCCGGCTGGCTCCGGGCCACTGGCTCAGGTTAGCTCGCGGGCTCGGTTCCGCGCGGCTCCGCGGCGAGGGCGGCGGAGGGGGCGCCCGGGGGCAGCTGCAGCATGCGGAGCCCCCGGGCCTGGCCTGGCCGCGCCCCGCCCCCTCCCGCCGATCCGCCCGCCCTTTGTCCCCCGCGGCCGCCGCCCGAGCAGCCGCCGCCGCCGAAGCCGCTTTCTCTGTCTAGCTCTCTTCCTCCGCCCCCCGACCACACCCCCTTAAAGGGCCAGCCCCGCTTTGGGCCCCTCACCCCCACCCCGCCTCCGGGTAGCGGGTAGGGGAGGGTCCAGTCCGCGGAGGTCTGGGCCTGGCTGTTCGCACGCCCCTAATTTAACCTCCTAGCCCCAAACCCAGGCTTATACTAAGCATCTGATACCAGGACTTGCGCACCCGCCAGATCTCTAGCCCTCATTGGATCCGGTCTTATTCTGTCCTCATTGAGACAGAATGGGGGGCGGGGGCGGGCGCACAGAGGCATGGAGGGGACAGGGTCCTGGGAGTAGGGCGTGGGTCCGTGAGGAGTCATGGGAGACCCAGGGGTCTGGGTCCTTAAACCCCTTGGCCTGCAAGGGACGAGCGGGCTCCTCTGAGCGGACCGACACGTGGACCGGGTTCCCAAGAATGGAGAAGTGGAAAAGGCGGGCAGGAGCTGCCCAGGTGCTCAGACGTCCTACTTGGCGGGGGTCCCACGCCCCCAGTGGAGGCGGCTCTGGTTGGGGTGGACAGAGCCGGCCCTCGGGCTAGAAGGGCCCGACCCAACGCAGCCACCGCCCACCGGCCGAGATGGCGGCGGACCGGGATTGTGGGAAATGTAGTTCGCCGTCGGCCCCTAGAGGCCGTCCCGCCCCCGGGGCGCAGCCCGGCCGGGAGGCGCAAACTTGTTTGGGGCGCCCTCCTAGGGCTAGCCGCCGCCCTCCCTGCCCCGCAACCTGAGCGCTTACAAAGGAGGAAACTCCAGAGCCTAGAACTGGCACATGGGGGAGCCAGGACTCAAAATAATAAAGGTAATAATAACAGCTGACCCCTAAGGAGCGTTTATTGGGACCCTCACCCAGTGGTTCTACCGTGAGGGTAGCTCCTCTGTCCCTCACACCTCTCTTAAGCAGGCTGAGCATCCCGTTCCGTCAGTATTTGATTCTCTGTATCTTCAAACTGACTCATTCATTCGTTCGTTCATTGTCTCCCACTTCTAGATTGCGGGGTGGAGAGCTGTGCTGGCCTTGTTGCTGATGCCCCGGATAGAGTCTGCTTCTCTGCAAACCCACTGTATTAGAAAATTACCTGGTTCCTGCAGAACCCCAGTCCCTAGAATTATCAGACGCTTAGCAGGCAGCTCCACACTGTTGGGTGAACAAATAACTGAGTTAAAGAATGAGTGACCTGGGCTGGAGTTGTGGCTCAGTGGTGCAGTGCTTGCCTAGTATGTGTGAGGCACTGGGTTTGATTCTCAGCACCGTGTAGAAATGAATGAATAAAATAAAGGTCCATCAACATCTAAAAAAAAAATTTAAAAAGAATGTGTGACTTCCTCAGAAGGTTGTGAATATTAAATAGGAGTGTGGCAAGTTCAATTTTTTAAAATATCGTCCTTATTTTATTTATTTATTTTTAATGTGGTGCTGAGGCTTGAACCCAGGGCCTCGAATGTGCTAGGTGAGCGCTCTACAGCTGAGCCACAACCCCAGCCCAGGCAAGTTCAATTTTGATACTAGAGGCTAATGAAATCACACGGCTACATAGAGGGGGAGCTGAGATTTTGAGCTGTGTGCCTCCCACTCCTACAGTCCCCAGTCAGCCGGCTTACCAGTTCCACACAGGGTCTCAGGATCCCAGATGTAGTAAGTCCCAACCCCTCACAGACACCTTTTCTTCCCATGCAGGATAGAGCCCTCTACACAGGTAGGGTTTAGAGAGGGCTGGGATTGGCTCAAGGCCACACAGCAGGTGCTGAGCCAATCTTGAACCCAGGACTTCAAGTTCATCCTTTACTCTGTAATTGGGAAAAGAGACAAAGAGAAGACACAGGTGGGGTCTCTGGTTGAGGCAAGGGGGGTGGGGCTTAGTCCAAGGGAAGGGTAGAGTGAGGGAACCTCGCTCCCCAGCTCATGCCCTGGCCTTAGCCTCCTTCAGCCAGCCTGCAGGAGCAAGGCTGACCCTTGCTCTTGCAGATTAAGCAGGACCCACCCATCTAGAGCCTGGCCTCTGGCTGCAGGCCTGCAGCCAAGTCCAAATTCCCCACCATGCCCCACCTCACCCCATCAGAGCAGGCCAGCTTTCTGAACCCCAGTATTGATTCAGAATTTATGGTGCTCCTGGATTAGAGAGGGGACATACTTGAATGGATTTTAGTACCCAACAGCTATTGTGGGAGTACAGCCTACAGATCTCAGTGTTCCCAAGTTGCTGATTATGAATACTGGTCTTGTCCCTCTTCCCCACAGGGTTGGTGTAAAGGTTTCCAGTCAAGTTCAAATGTTGGATCCCCCTTTAAGGGTTCTCTCCAGCACACCCTCTCTGCCTTTCCTTCTGGTCATCATCTGTACCACCCTGAGAACACACCCAGATTCCTCGGGTTGACTTCCCTGTCTGTCCAGTCCCTTCCCATGGCTACCCACCCAGAGAACAGAATGGGCATGCTGACCTGCGCCTTTTGGAAGCCAGGCTGCCCTGAACTGCCTGGGTTTGGATGTGGAGGACTAGGTTCAGATCCTGGCCAGGGGCAAGTCACTTACCTGTTCCGAGCCTCCTCCTGGAGGCTGACCACCCTCACCTTCTTGTGCTGGAGCCCAGAGCTCAGTGTTCCTGTGCCGATCTGGCCATTGCTCCTCTGACAGAGCCCTCCTGGGACTGGGGTGTGCTCCTGCTCCTGTTCCTTCTAGCCTCAGACCGCAGCCCCACCCCTCCCAAGGTTCTGGCCCCCTCCCACCAGAGTGCAGCTAAGGCTGCCCATGGTCCCTTTCCGAAGCAGAGGCCCTGGGGAGGGTCCTGAGGGCCAAGCCCGCTCCCTTAATCGAGGGTAGAGGCCGGAAGGACTGCCTTCTTTCCACCATTACTGCTTGCCGAGAAACCCCATTACCATTACCAGTGCTGGAAGAAAGTGTCAGAGGAGGAAGGAGCCTTCTAATGGGGGGGCTGCCTTGGTCTCAGGAGACAGGGGTGGGTGGAGAAGAGGCCCAGGCCCTGCAAGCAGGCTCCCATTCTGTTTTCCAAGGAGCTGCTGTGTGCTGCTTCTATGAAGTATCCCTGCCTCAGGCCTACGCCTCAGCTGGGTCCCTGACTCCATCCCTGCTAGCCCTGTCCTGGAACTGACCCATGCCCTTTCCTTGCACTGGTCCCTAGATCCCTACAGCCTTCCCTCTTCTCCTGCCAAACTACCTTAGGGGGTGGGGCATCTCCCACCTTTGCTTACTTCAGCTTCCAACAACCCTTAGCTTCTGAACAGTGAAACTGGGTTCTGCTGCTAGAAAGCACTGGATGTGAACTCAGGCCTGTGGAGCAGAGGCCAGCCTCCACCCTGCTTGGCTTTGTTCTCCCAGTGAGGTCTGGTGGGCACTGGGTCTGGGAGAAATATGCTTTGCAGCTCTGATGAGAGAAGAGTAAGATCACTGGTTGTCTCCCTTTGTCTCCTCAAGGGCAGGGAGTGGGGACAGGAAATCAGAGGGCTGATATCCTCCTACAAAGCTGTGTGACCTTGGGCAAGTCCCTTTCCCTCTCTGGGCCTCATGTGGTGAAAATAATCACACCCCACAGAACCAAAGCCAAAGACAAGGAGATTCACTAGGTTGACAGCCAACAAGATGGGGATTTGGAAGAAGGCCAGTGCTGGTTAGAGCTCCCCCGGAGGATCTGAGAGCCTGGGGCAAAGGGGCCTGCAGGGCAGCTCCTCCCTGGCTGACCCCTCCTCCAGGAGAACCAGCTCAATTGCTTTCTGGGTTTCTAGGTGACTTGGCTGGCCCCTCTGGATGAGTTCTACTTTAAACCTGCTGCTGCTGCCGCTGCCGCCTCTATATTGGGGGGGCTCCCACAGGGGCCCTGAGGCAGGAGCCCCCCCAACCAAGCCCTGCGGGAGGGGCTGCAGCCCCCACCCATCCCAGTGCCCATGCGCGATAACCCCTCCTCCCATCACTGGAACACAGATTTCAGGGCACCTGCTGCGGGCCAGGCACTGCAGAGCCCCTCTGCAACCTCCTTCTTGGGGACACCCAGGAGGCTCTGGCCCTCTAGGCAAACCTTCAGTTTTCAGCAAAGAGGCCCACAGAGGCAGACTGCAATCATAGGGTCGGCAGCACAGGAAGGGACTGTTCCAGGGCTCGCTCTGGAAGGCCGGGATGCTTAGGTCCTTGAAGGAGGTGTCAGGCGCCTGGTCTCCCAGGGCTAGGGACGGGGGAGGGGCGCCTGCCGGCGGGAGGCCCATTAGCTAGCTAAGTGCTCCCAGGGAGAGGGACCGCCTGCAGCAGAAGGGGATAAGGCGACGTACGGGCACGTGTGTGTGTGTGTGTGTGTGTGTGTGTGTAGTGGCTTTTCCTGCACTCAGCTAAGTGCAGCCGCCTGCCCCCTCCTCTGGGAACCCCAGGCAGGCTGACCCTGGTAGACGTCTTCTACACCCAGGCCCGCTAGCTGAACCCCCAACAGCTCCGACGACCCAATCGTCCTCCAGTCCCCGCATGGCACCCGAAAAATGAGTCTTACTGAGCCACAAAGCCCGGCACTGGTGCAGTAAGCCCCATCCACCTCTGGCTGCAGTCGCCACCCCCGCCGCCAGGGGGAGCCGACGCGGGGCGGGCGGGCCCGACGCACCGGGTGGGAGGGGGCGACGCGCCGGGGCGGGGCGGGCCGGGGGCGGGGCCCGGGCGCCGAGTCTCTGGTCCGTCCGGGACAGACTGGCGGGCAGGCGGTCGCTGACGCCGCGGGGCTGGAGCGGGCCGCGCGGGAGCGCGCGGAGGGAGCAGCTGCGCCGTCGGTCCCCGTCGGTGCTCCGTGGGTCTCCGAGCCGCCCCTGGTTCGGCCATGGCGGGCGCCAGGCCCGGCGTCCACGCGCTACAGCTGGAGCCGCCCACCGTGGTGGAGACCTTGCGGCGCGGGAGTAAGTTCATCAAATGGGACGAGGTAAGTGCAGCGGTCCCCTGCTCAGCCCAGATCCGGGGACTCCTTCACTCAGGCTCAGGCAGATGCCGGGGACCCTCAG